TGGATGGAACACCAACTTTTTCCATTATTTGCTTTAACTAGATGTGGTTGCTATTTAAACCCTAAAGAGCTATGTGAGATAATCCAGAGGGTGCCTAGAAGTGCTCACTCCCAGTTAAAAAATAGACACTAGGGCAATTTGGTGGCTCAGAGTCAACCTAGTTCTTGCCTAATTACAATCACGTTAGATGACAGTACTCCTCCAGAACAAATGACCTAGTGATTATCCTCCACCCGGAAAAGTCAACAAGCAGTGCATGAGGGAGGTGGCCTCACCACCACACAACCTACGGAAAAGCCACTCGACAGCTACACATCCATTTTATTTCCGAATTAAAATGTATGTTGCCAATAGCACAGTACTGCAGTATCCTCTTACAAGTGACCTCTGCTAGAGAATGAATAACATCTAGCCTGTATATTAATTCATCTTCAGACCTCACCTCCAACAGGCGCCAACAATGTTGTATAACGAGGTTTGTGGCTGATAGTAACACTAGCTAACTGAAAGTCTTAAAGGCATCAGAAACACCCTGAAGATAAAATGCCACCACTTCTCCTCTACAGACTTCTCTGATTCTTGATGCTGCTTCTGCAGCCCTTGAACTCTACAGCATAGCGTACATGTTCATATTCACAAGCTTTGCTTCCTTCATCAATAACCTCAACACTCTCATTTCTTAAGCAGCTATACAAACTGATCCAAACACCAAGCATAACTCCTGGGAGGAAAACAGCTACGAGAGGAAAACAGCTATAAATATTTGATTTTGAACATTCTTGCCTATGGCATTCAGACATGATTATGATACAGTCATCATACTCTGAGTCAGTATGCATTACCCCAGTTAAACCAGCTTCAACTGGGATTTCTGCCAACAATGTTATACGTTGAACATCCATCCATCAAGAATGATACAACAAGAAGTGTAACACCTGAAAAAACACATTCCTAATATGAACAACCACAGTAAAATATGACTACTAGAATGGCTTCTTCAGAGTTAATTTTTTTATAAAGTTTTTTTAAAATTTTCATGCCCACGAGAACTTTTTTTTTTTAAGGTAAATATTTTTGCTTAGATTGGCCACTCTTCCCCTTATTTTATGCTGCTTCAACATTTACAATTCAAGCATATCAAATCTGGTGTAGTTCATGAGAACCAGAAAGTTGAATCAATTGGTCTAGGTATCGCCACGGTATTTAAGTAAGCATGAAGTAAACAAACAGCAAAACAAGTTTTTAAAATTTCACACTTCAAAAAACCAAGAATTACCAGCAGCATTTAGAAAATCCCAATGAATGACTTTAAGCCCAGCTGGGCTCCCGACATTGGTATCAAAAGCGAGCCCCAGTTATGCCCATCTGTGATGCGGCCCAGCTGCCAAGCACCTCCAGCCTTCCAGATCAGGCCCACAAAATCACTGGGACCATCTTTAAGGTTAAAAAAAAAAGAAATCTAACAGTGTTAAATTTAATGTTCTTTTTTGTTGGTTTTGTTTCTAAGTCACTTTAATGTTTTCAAGTTTTTTTTTCCTTAGCTGCTAGAGTAAGAAGAAAAAGTGAAAAAGAGAGACTGAAAGAGAAAGAAAAACAAAGAGAAAGAAAAAGGGAGAGAGAGAAAAGAATCTTAACAACGAATGCCTTATCTTTTATACCTCTCTTTTTCATAAAATTGTCAGTGCTTCAGCAATATCCATGAGTCAGAGCATACTTGGGCCTCACTGAAACAGATTTACATCCTAGAACTAATGGCTGTGACCAGCACACATATTCTATATCTGAACAATTATTCAGATACTGAAAAATACAATATAAAACAAGAAGGGGAAATAACTTCAGTCCTACTCTATCATGGTAAATCTGCACTTACCTTTTAAGTAACATCAGATCTGTTAACACAAAGATCACAAAAAATACCAGAAATAGAAATCTGACAACACTGCCTCTGGAATGAGGTTGTTTCAGATTCTTACAATACTGGATTATCAAAATAACTCCCATGGAACTGGTACACCAAAGCCATTAATAGCACAGATTTATACTACAGTCTTGGCATCAGGTTCTCTCATTCTCTCCTGCTCCCTCCTTCTCTCTCATTCCCTTCCTCTCCCTCTCTTTTTAAGAGGATAGTAATTTTAAAACAAAAATGTGCCTCTCCTTAATGTATTCCCAGTGTTGTGCTTTCCATAAAAATCTGAAGTGCTAGCAACATTTCTGCTCAACATGTTTTGAATCAGACATTTCTAGATTCTAAAAAGGGGTACTTAAACTGTACCACAGACTAATTTTGGACTACCAGATCCCAGCTCCTAGTGGGAAACCCTCCTTTAGATGAGTGCACTCTCATCTTCCATAAGGAAATTCTTTCTGAGAGTAAAGATTTCTTACATGAGTAAGGGTAAACACGATAAGGACTTGAATGTGTGAGCTCTTAAGGACAAGTTCTGCTTCCTTTGGATCTCGTACAACACTTAGCAGACTGTCAGCACCTAATGATAACAAATGTTAAGGAAACATTTAGAAAAATAAAAATAGGCCTTACTCTGACTTCATTTTCACCACTCTAAATCAGCATTAACACAACTAATGTCATAGGTAAAACTATGATACAAATATAAAACTGTCAATGACTTCAACAAGAAGATTTTTTTGTCAAGAAATGGTATAAAATCCCTCTCTTTTTATGTGCTATATGTAGTCACATTCATTAGACACTTCCGTATCTGACAAACCAGCTGACACAGAGAGACTCAAATAATACCACCACTTCAGACATGTACCCAAACATATTCACTGAAAATTGGAAAGCTTCAGAAATGCATCACAGGATCCATTACTTAGCCTTAGACACTGCAGCTCACACAACCTGGCCTATCATATGATGCTAAGGCGTTTTTCTCTAATTAGATTCCATTTGCAGAACCAAAAGATACCTAACGTTTCCAGAACACTTCCTCAGAAATACCACCGTATATGAATCACAAATGCAACGTGGCATTTAAGCTTGAGGTGGGGAAACAGACTTTTTTCTGTTTGTATATCAGACATACGACCTGCTGAATACACTCCGATCATCATACTGCATGACTCTCAAACTAAACAAGCTAAACTTTGAAGATACACCTGCCACAAACAGAATACTGACAATTACTAGATGCTGTTGTTTTTAACTCTGTAACAGTCCAGACACCTGATAAGGATACAGACTGCATCCATCTTTTATGCTCTACGCCTGGAACCTTGGGAGCTGTGGGCCAAATTCTTGGCTCAACCAAACCTCCAAGGTGATCTTGTGAAAACAATCTAGAGTCTGTACTTTGATTCCCAAACCATAAAATGAGAGTGGTAACATTTCTTTTATTCTGTACTCTATGTTGTTTAGACTGTAATTGTTTTACAGCAAAGATGGTTCTCGGCACAGCTACCACAGAAAAGGAGGCTGAGATCTTGCCTAGTGCTTCTACACGCTCCCATGGTGCACACAATTAACCATATTAGATATAATTCTCAAACAATTTCTGATCCTGCTTGATTTCCTCCTGATTCGTATTTGTGCATTCCCGTGTCTAAGGCCATGCTCTCCCAGTGTGCACTGCAATAATTGTTCTAACACTTCTGCCTCTGAGTATTTCTTGACTTGAAAGCTTCTATCCCATGTATTGGGTTTGCATGTCAAGGTTTTGGTAGCAAGGGGGCTACAGGGGTGGCTTCTGTGAGAAGCTGATAGAGGCTTCCCCTGTGTCCGACAGACTCAATGCCAGCCGGCTCCAAGACAGACACACCACTGGCCAAGGCTGAGCCCATCAGCAATGGTGGTAGCACCTCTGTGATAACACATTTAAGAAGGAAAAAAAAATCCCCTGCGGAACGTCATTTTGCAGCAGGAGAGAGGAGTAAGAACATGTGAGAGAAACAACTCTGTAGACACCAAGGTCAGTGAAGAAGGAGGGGGAGGAGGT